TTTCCACAGGTTCAACTGCCACCTCCACCACTTTATGAGCTTTACGACCTTATGCAAGTTTCTGAATCTCTCCGTGCCTCAGTTTCCCCATCAGTAAAACAGGGACCGTGGTGATAACAGTACCTACCCGAACAGCCATTTTAGAGGACAGTTTGTCAGTTTCTCAAAGAGCTGAACATAAACTGATTGTTAGACCCAATTATTTCACTGCCAGGTATGTACCCACGAGAAAGAAAAGCTCTCTCATACTAAAACATGTATGTAAATATTCCTGGCAGCATTGTTTGCAATGGCCAACAACTGCAAATATTCCAAACGCCCATGAAATGGTGAATGGATAAACATAATGTGGTGTATCCACACCATGGGGTGATTAAACCCCTCAGGAGACATCTAGTGAGTGTATGACATCAGAAAGTTCCCCAGTTTTCAGACAGTTCCCACTTTACTCGCAGCCTCCAGGAGAAACCACTGCTCCGTTCTCTGACAACTTCATATAAATGAAATCACATGATATGGAGTCCTTTGCATCTGTTTTCTCTCACTAGGCGTATCTTTTGTCATAACTGGAGTTGGAACATGCTACGGGCATCTAGTGGGTAAAGGTCAGGGATGTTACTAAACATCCGATAGTGTACAAGAAGCATGCCCCTAGCCCCTCTGCCCCCCACCCCTCAAACCCCCACATCCCCAACCCCCTCCCACACACACACAGTAAGAATCATCTGGTCCAAAATGTTATAGTGCTGAGGTTGAGAAATTCTGCACTACTGGGAAGTGTGAATGGATGAACCAATGAATCATTCTCTAGACTTGAATTTAAGGATTGTCCTCTCAAATTCTGAGAAAAATCTTTAGAAGTATTTCCACACCCTCTCCCCTTGAACAATTTGAAATTGGTCTCTCAAGTAATGATTTTTTTTCCTCTTTTTTTTTCATTTATTTTTATTAGTTGGAGGCTAATTGTTTTACAAAATTGTAGTGGTTTTTGCCATACATTGACATGAATAAAAATATGGAACGCTTCACGAATTTGTGTGTTATCCTTGTGCAGGGGCCATGCTAATCTTCTCTGTATCGTTCCAATTTTAGTATATGTGCTGCCGAAGCGAGCACTAGTAATGATATTTTTAAAGAAGTCCCCGGATGGGAGAAATATCACAACTATTATATCGGAGGCCCTGTGATGCTCTGCACAGATTCCCTTTCAGACATGACCGCCCCAGCTCATGGGGCATTGCCAGCAGACAGCCTCAAGGTCAAGGTCAAGCCCTCTTCTGAGGGCAGCTCACACCCTATGACAGCTTTATTGCAGGGTTGGGGGGGGGCGGGAGGTGGCAAGTGAAGAGCTACTCTGAAGGACCATCCTACCTTCAGAATTCCTTGGGGGTTGGCTGGGACTTTGTTCAGCATCACCGTCCAGGGTCTTTCTCTCCTCCCCCTCTCATCCCTTCCTTTCCAAAGGGGACAATCATAAAGTCTATCCCCAGTGAAGTTCCTCCTTTCTAATCTCCACGAGTCAACTTTCCAACTGGGACACCTGGAAACAATGACTCTGGCTTCTAAAACGTATTTTGAAACACGAAGATTTTTAATATATATTTTAAAAAATCTAATCCAACAGTGACAGAAAAATTCATGCATAACCTCTAGTGACAGAAAGTCGTCACTGGTTATTCCAGGACTGAGGGAGGTGGTATTGCCAAGAGACAGGAGGCACTCTGGGGGTGACAGCTGTATTCACTCTCGATGGTGATGGTTTCACAGTTACATGCATATGTCAAAGCTCATCAAAGATTATACTTGAAATATGTGCAGTTTGGGGCTTCCCAGGTGGCGCTAGTGGTAAAGAACCCGTCTGCCAATGCAGAAGATGTAAGAGATGCAGGTTTGATCCCTGGGTCGGGAAGATCCCCTGGAGGAGGGCATGGCAACCCACTGCAGTATTCTTGCCTGGAGACTCCCATGGACAGAGGAGCCTGGCGGGCTACAGCCCACAGGGTCTCAAAGAGTCGGACACGACTGAAGCAACTTAGCATGCACACACACATGTACAGTTTATCATATGTCAGTTATACCTCAATATAAAGCTGTTTTAGAAAGAGGGGGGAAGAAAGAAGTGGTCAAAGTCTGAGAGGGACTCTGAGAAATTAAGAAAAGTATGTATAATCTCTACTACAGATATTTTCAGTTTTTCCACTGGTTTTTGCTTTTACCCATGTCCAGTACGTATGTATTTTATGAAGGTATGTGTGGGTTAAGTTGCTTCAGGCGTGTCCAAATCTTTGCCACCTTACGGACTGTAGCCCACTAGGCTCCTCTGTCCATGGGATTCTCCAGGCAAGAGCACTGGAGTGGGTTGCCATTTCCTCCTCCAGGAATCTTACTTACAAAGGGATAATGACAGTATATATTAGCTGTTCTCAGCTACGATGCTGTCACACTGGTTTGTCCTGATGACCTGCAAGATGTTCCAACTAAATTTGTTATTAAATCATGTTGAAAATACCCAGTTTGCCAAGATTTACTTCTTTTAATATAGCACAGCATACCCAAGATTAGAACCACAATAATGTCACCTTGAGTCTCTTGCATTTGGATGTGGTTTCTTATGTGTGGAAGTTAGCACATAGAATTTCACATCACCCTTGCCAAATCCCTAGGAAAATGTCAGGCACTGAGAACCGGTGATGTAAATACTCTGTTGCATCTTGGCAAATACAACAGCCTTCATAATTGACATTTTCCTTAAATCAAAGTAAAATATACAAATGCTCATAAATCATATAAATAAATCTCCCCTGACAGTACAAGTTCCTAAAGGCAAATTCCTTCCTTTTTAAATTTTTCTTCCTGACTCCATCTCTCTGTCCCTCCTTCCTGATTGTCTTCCTTTGTGGGTAGATAGTACACTCACATGGGTCAAAAATCAAAAAGTGTTAAACATTAGCTACAACAAAAACTCTACATTAGATACAACAAAAACTCTCCCCTTGACCTGTTCCCAGGCACCTAGCTTCCCTCCTGAAAAGCAACTGGTTTTATCATGTTTTTTTCTGTCAGTATCAATGAGCATATATGTGTGTGTGGTATATTCACACACCTAGAGACTATTAAAACCCTTCAAAAAAAGATAAATTATTTGCTCTGTTTTACACTTTGTTTTTCACTTTTTAATATATAGGATATCTTCCAATATTAACACACAAAGAGTTTCCAAATTCTTTTATAGGTTAAAATATTATAAATATTGCTTTATTGAATTAGCCCTGTATGGATGAACATTTAGGTAGCTTTCCAATCTTTTGTTACTATAAACAATGCTGTAATAAATAACTTCACAGCTCATCACACTGCATGTAAGTAAACATGTTTATAGTATAAATTCTTAAAAAGGGAACTACTAGGTCAAAGGCTGTGTGCATGTTTAAAACAGAAAGGTACTGCTGAACTGACTTACACTCCCACCACTTACATAGGACAATGCTTCTCCACAGATCCCTGCCAACACCCTGAGTCATAAAGCTTTTTGATCACTGCCAACTTGATAGATGAAAAATAGCTTAGTGTAATTTTAACTTGGAATTTTCACGTAGACAAGCAGGTTTGTGTTTCAGAGCTGTCTATTTGTCCATTTCTGTGAAAGCTCTGTTCATGTGATTTGCCTGTTTTCCCATGAACTTATGTTCTTTTACTTTGTTGACTTTTTTCAACTCTTTCAACACTAGGATAACTAGTTTTTTGACTGCAAAACGAACCCAAATATTTTTCCCAGTCATTTTTTTGACTGGCTGGATTTTGCCAGATTTTTTTTTTTAATTTTATGTAATTGTATTAAGTGTTATCTTTTTACCAGAAACGAGGATGAGACAGGCTGGGACCTGGAATAGTTTACTGAAGTGCTGCAATGCTTGCACCTAGACACACCTCTCCTGGACCAACAAAATACAAAGAAACTATATGGGACTAAACATAACTGCCTGTATGCACAGGGCAAATTCTGGACAAAAGATACAAAGAGACCAAAAAAACCCAACTGCCACTTCTAATGGGCCTGGACCAAAAGCTGGGGTTTGGAACCAAGAGCCGGGTACAGAACATGGCCCCTGCACACACCACCACCTAAAAGGTGCACAGACCACCTAAGCTACCCCTCCGCCCTGACCCCTGGATACATACCTACTTCACCCCATATTAAGAGAAAGCATCCTGTGTGTGTTGGAGGGGGGCACACTAGAGGAGTGAGCAACATAACCTATGATTTATTCTGGAACACCCCCTCACCGCACCCCGCCAGCAGGAGACCCAATAACACCTTCCCTGAATTTTTATCAGGGCTGTGACTCATTTCTATTGCATAAGAAGGACCAGTGGTCAAGAACCCGCCTGCCACTGCAGGAGACCAAAGAGGCGGCTCCATCCCTGGGCTGGGAAGATCCCCTGGAGTAGGAAATGGCAACCTACTTCAGGATTCTTGCCTGGGAAATCCCACGGACAGAGAAGCCTGGTTGGCTACAGTCCATGGGGTCACAAAGAATCCGACACTACCCCACTCAGCAGTTCGAAGGAGGCCAAGAACTCCGGTCAGTAACAAGCCTTCTCTGGTTCGGAGAGGTCAACAGGATTGCCAGAGGTGTACAGCCAAGTGTAGAGGCCAGATCTCAAACCTCGCCCCTTGGCCCCACACCCCTCCCAGGGTAGGGCAGTGACGCCCCCCATCCCCCCGAGCAGAGCGGGTGAGCACACCTGCGAACTCCCCAGGGGATCCCCTCACCCGCTGCCCCTGCAGGTGACCTCAGAGAAGCCCCGCACACACCAACCGGCCACTGGACTCTGTCCCGGGGGCGGGTTCCCGCGGGAGGAGGCGCGGCCCGGGCGGGCCGGGAGCGGTCCTCCGGGGAGGCGGGGAGCGGGGGCGGGGCCGCCGCGCTCCGCAGGAAGGACGCTTGCGCCCCGGGCTTCCGGGGGCCGAACCTGCTTCGGGATCCCGCGTCTGCAGCATGGGGCCCGGGCCGCGAACGCTCGAGCTGTTCTACGATGTCCTGTCCCCCTACTCCTGGATGGCCTTCGAGGTGACGCCTGGGAGCAGCTCGCCCGGGGCTTGGGGAGACGGAGGCAGAGGGAGGGATCAGCAAAGACGCGGGGACCTCGGTCTCGTGAATTTCCTGGCAGTCCCCTACGCGGTTTAGGGCAAGAGGGTAGAGAGCCAGGACTGAAGGTCACATTGTTGATAAACGGGGTATGATCGCTGGCTCCAGGTCGATCCTTTATCTCTTAAGGCCGGGGTTTCCCACACTGGCTTGGAAGATGAGCAACTCCAAAGAATCCAGAATATAAGCCCTCCGATGTCAGTGTTGGGGAGTGGGGTGTAGAACAGATAAAAACTGTCCACAGGAGCAAAGATCCTGGAATCAATAACTAGGAAATTGGGAAAGTTTTGCCCTTTCAAGCCAAATTTAGGATGTCCTAACCCTTTCTCCGCACCCATAGCCTCTGGCTGGTCAGTGCCATGAAACACCCTTCTCTCCCTCAGCCTTCTTCACTCTCCCTCCCCGCCCCTCCCTGCAGGTGCTGTGCAGATATAAGAACATCTGGAATGTCAGCCTGCAGCTGCAGCCCACGTTAATTGCAGGGATCATGAGAGACAGCGGTACGAAGGCAGTGGTGTTTTTAGCGGGGATTTGAGGGAAGACTAATTTCAAACATCCAGGGAAGTAGCCCGAAGCAGCCAATATGCCCACTGCCTGAAACCCAGGTAGGTGCATCCCCGGCCTGGGATCCTCAAGTGATCTCTCATCAGAAAATCCAACTTTCCACTTGCAGGAAACCAGCCGCCAGCTATGCTTCCCCGCAAAGCCCTGTACATGAGAAGTGACATTAGGCTCTTGAGCCAGCATCTCCAGGTTCCCCTCCACTTCCCCAAGGATTTCTTCTCTGTGATCCTTAAGAAAGGTGAAGAGAGTGGGATATGCATGCAGCATAAGGTTTCAGCGGTGGATTTGGAGATTGCAGGGCCAGAAAGGAGGGGTTCCGGTGATTCCATTAAGTGAAGGAAGCTTTGGGAAAACTCTGCATCACAGCTGATCATGCAGAAGGGTGTATAGACAGAGGCAGATGGAGAGCAGTATGGATTAGTGATCAGAAACGCTAATGGGAGGCTGAGGGCAATGGAACACTGGCGGGTGGGGGACTGGGGGGAGATGGGAAGGAGGGCAAACCTGGTCTTCATGGGAAACAAGCTAGAGGAGCCCCCCTCTGAGCGCCTCTGCCCCACAGGAAGTTTGACAGCCATGCGCTTCCTCACTGCGGTGAAGATGGAGCACCCGGAGATGCTGGAGAAAGTGTCCAGAGAACTGTGGATGCGCATCTGGTCACAGGTGAGGCACCCACTTTCGGGAGACCCTGGATGACTTGTGACCCTCCCCTAGGCCTTGAGTCCAGGTCTTGCCTCCTCCTTGTTCACTGACCTGGTTTACTGGCCTCCATCTCACCCCTCACCGTGCCACCCCCTCGTACTGACTGTCCTCTTCTTTTCAGGACGAAGACATCACGGAGCCCCCGAGCATCCTGGCCGTGAGTGTTCCCACTCCTCTCCTGGGGAATCTGAGGACAGCTGACCTCTGGGAGTAGAGAGGACATCATTTATTATTGGGTGGAAGTGGTCATAATTACCGGGGGAGAAAGGATGTTTGAGGCCAAATTACTAAATGGTTGGAACTAAGAAGACTCTTGAAAGCATGTATCATGGTGAAAAAGGAAACATGATTTTGATGAAAGAAGTCAGTGGGAGAGAGGTGGTACATGTGGGGACCTGCAGATGGGGAGACTTGAAGTACTGGCAAGGCTTGGCCCTAAAAACTGCAATACAAACCCCACATCCAAGAGAGAAAAAGCAGGCTTTGAAAAGACAAAGAGAGATAACTGACTCAAGCCAGAAGTATTCAGGAAGTCCAAGTGAGAAAAGTGGAAATAGCTCCAAATGTCAAAATGTGTGCCAGCCATATTTAGATATAAAAAAGCTTTTCTTCAGGATTAAATCAGGAAATTCAACACCACATTTTTTCCCCTTAAGATTTTTCCCCCTTAAACCACAAGAGTTTCCCTTGTGGCTCAGCTGGTAAACAAACCGTCTCCAATGCAGAAGATCTGGGCTCGATCCCTGGGTTGGGAAGATCCCATGGAGAAGGGAAAGGCTACCCACTCCAGTATTCTAGCCTAGAGAATTCCAGAGATTATGTAGTCCATGGGGTCGCAAAGTGTCAGACAGGACTGAGTGACTTTCACTTTCACTTTAAGTTTACAGAAGATAGCTGAAGCATATTCAAATGCAATATATAAAATGACAAGTTACAAAAAACATTAAATGTGTAAAGCTTGCCCAGTATATCCTCCTGTGTTTTCATTCCTGCAAAGTCTATGCATTGGCTTGCTTTTTCACTTAATATTTAATGATCATTTCCCTTGTCATTTAAAACTATTGCAGAGAATAATTGTTAGGTTCCATATAGCATTCCATTCAGTGGGTGTACTTCTGTTTACCTAACCAGTTCTCTATTGTTGAGCACTTGGCCGGAATACACTTATGTAACCGGGTCAAAGACAAGAAGTCAGGCCTGACTTTGTATTTCCCACTCCAGGTCAAGGGGCTCAGGTTGCAATACCTGTCAACCCCAGGTGTGTATTAAAATCACTTGAGCACCTGGACGTCACCACCCGGAAATTCCCATGTAATTTGTTCTCGAGGATGACATCCAAACTGAGATTTTCAAAATCTCCCCCAGGATATTCTAATATATGCAGCCAAAGTTGAGAATCACTGATCCCAACAAACCCCAAACTGAACCCTTTAACATTCGCTTGAAGCAAGACACTGGTGACTGCAGTCATGTGCCCTGTCCAGAGTCCTCAGGAAATTCTATGAGAATTAGAGTCCAGCCCTTAGATTCGGGAAATCTGAGAAGCAGGAAGGCACGAGCCCCCAGCTTAATGTCAGGGGACTTGGATTCCAGCTTTGGCTCTGCTACTAACAAGCTCTTCAACACTGACCAAAATATGTACCATTTCTGGTCTGGAGGCTCCTTATCTGTTTTGTTTTGGCTGTTTAAATATTTATTTATTTGGCTACACCAGGTCTTAGTTGTGACTTGTGAACACTTCATTGCGTCATATGGGTTCTGGTTCCCTGACCAGAGATTGAACCCAGGCCCCGTGCACTGGGAGCACAGAGCTTCAACCACTGGACCACCAGGGAAGTCCTTCCTGATCTGTTAATGAAGTGGTTGCGGAGGTGACCTCTCAAGATGCCCTCTCATGTTGAATTTCTACAATTATGCCTATTTGCCACCCGTTCTTTCTACCAATCTCATGATTTTGAAAGCAAAAACATAGCCCCTTTTGGTAAAGATAGACCTCCACTGGTGGGTAGGTAAAAGCGCTGCCAGGATAATATGGGGACAGAAAATAAAATGACCAGAGTTTTCTCCTGAGATTCCCACCTGCACTAAAGCAGACACACTTGTCTTCCCTACCACATCCCTTCAGGCTGCAGAGAAGGCTGGCATGTCCATCGGACAAGCCCAGGAACTTCTAGAAAGGGTCTCAACACCACAAGTGAAGAACAAGCTCAAGGAGACCACTGACACAGCCTGCAAATATGGGGTGAGCAATTCTGTGCCCCCCCCCCCCCCGCCCCGTGCTGAGACAGAGAATCCTGACCACGTCCCTAAGCTCCTGAGCAAAAGTTACTCCCCAACTGTGAGTCCTCCTAGATCTCCAAGATCACCCTCATTGTTTCCTTCCTTTCCCTGGGCCCAAGGAAAGGAGGAAGAGAGGTAGATGGTGAGAGAGGAGAGAGAATTCTCTCCTTAGAAACCTGGAACCTCTCATCAAATACCTCTGGCTACTTTGTGTCTATGACCTCTGATCAGTATTGACTTGCAGCCTTCAGCGGTAGCCCTGTAACCACCTGCTCCGTCACCCTCCTTCCTGCCCTGTGACTTCTCCAGGCTTTTGGGCTGCCCATCACTGTGACCCACCTGGATGATGAAACCCACATGCTCTTTGGCTCTGACAGGATGGAGTTGCTGGCGTACCTGTTGGGTAAGTTACAGGTTCATGCTGACCTGCCCTTGACCCCATCCCTGCATTATATCAGTTGCCCAGAAGGATGGATTCAAGAACTAAAAAAAAGAAAAAAATGTTCTAGTCACTTCCAATAATGGAACCTCACACAGAGATAGGTGTGCTTGAGGTGGAGTGGGGAGGGGCCACCTTCTTCAGCAGGAAGGAAGGAAGCCTTCTGTACCCTGCACCCAGGAGCTCTTCCTGGAGAGAACCCCTGGGGGCTTTTGGGGCCAGACTCTGACTCGTGATCTCTACCATCCAGGAGAAAAGTGGATGGGCCCTGTGCCTCCAGCTGTAAACGCCAGACTTTAAGGAAGCCCAGAGGAAGCAAGACGCTTGGTATAAAAAAGCAGATCATCTGCTTACCCCTCCTCCACTGTGGGGCCCTGGGACTCTGGTTTCCTCTCTGACAGAGGTTCTTGTCCGGCCCTGGGATGTGCTGGGGGGCGGGAAGATCAATACACCGCCTGCCGTTAGTCTCACAAGTGCCTCTGAGAGCCTCCGGCTCTGCACTCCACAGAATAAACCTAATGCCGTTAGGCATCATTATTTCCGGGTCTGTGTCCTCCTGGTGTCCCTGTGTCCTTGTTCCTATAGCCGCATCCTGGCCACTCGGTGTTTGAGAAGAACAGTTCCTGTGTGCCCTCAGCCCTCTGCCCCACTCTGGGGGGCTTACGTGGAGGGAGCAGGAGATAGTCCCTCTCTCTCTTCTACAGAAGCTCCTTAAGTCTGTCAGGGAAAGAAAGCTAAGCCAGATGGATTCTGCAGCTAACCGGTGGGACACTGTCTTCTGACCAGCCATGGTGCCTGAGACAGGGTTTGGGGCTGGAAGCCCAGGAGAAGTGGAGGCTGGCAAGAACCCCAGCATGGCTGAGCTTGCATCCAGATGTTTAAATGGGGTCCGGCTACTCTGACCAGCAGGGCCTGTGAGAGGCCCTCTCACAGGCCATGTTGGGAGACTGGCCAGAGCTGCTGGGGCCTGAAGAAGTTGCTCATCCCCTTGGGGTTCCTTCCCCTCACACACAAAACAGATACCAAGGAAAGGCCAGGCTGCTCTCCCTGGCCCACTATGAACCCTGTTCCCTCCCCAACAAACCTCTAGCTTTCTCACTCCCCCCAGTTATTGAAGCCCCTGCTCTTTCTGTGCATGCAGTGTGATCATCAGATGCCTTGTGTTTCAATAGGGTCTGGACTTCTATGAGAAGACTCTCTTCAGATGCTGAAACCACACTTGGATGCCTGTGTGGCGACTTCGATGGTTCAGAGGGCTTTCAGAGTTTAGATGCCTCTTCCCTTTGCTGTTTTCTCATCTCATATTTCTGGCTTTCTCATCTCCTATCCCATGTCCCCCTCTTTTCTCCCATCACTTTCAGTCTTCCTCCTCTCCCCCTTTTTTCCATTACCCAGTACACTCTGGACTTCAGCTCATCCTGACCATGCATACCTGTAATGTAATTTCACAAGTATATCCCTAAATAAGCCCTCTGTTTCTCCAAAGGAGATCTGTGACAATGTGCAACTAACGCAAAATAAAAATATGAGAACCATAAGGGCAAAGTAAAACAAAAATAGAGGGACTTCCCTGGAAGTCCAGTGGTTAAGACTCTGCACTTCCAATGCAGGGGACACAGATTCAATCCCTGGTTAGAGAACTAAAATGCAACATGCCGAATGGCATGGCCAAAGAGTAAAAGTTAAAAAAAAAATTTTTTTAATGGAATTTTCCATATATTGCAGTTAAATATATTCAACTATATTGAAGTTCTCATACATGTTGAGGGTGAATAGAGACAAAGCTTTGTGAATAAAGATGCTTGCCTCACCACTGCCTGTTGTATCAAATAAATGTCCAACAGGAGGATTTTTGAATAAATTATGGTACATCCAGGATGTAGTGTTTCATAGCCATCAAAAATTATATTTGTGAAGAATTTTGGCAACTTCCAGGAACTTTGGAAATTCTTAGGATATAATATTGATTGAAAAAATGATGAAACTGCATAGTATGGTCTCAATTATGTCTTGCATAAAGATATATTACAGAGGACATTAATCTGGAATAAATCTGGACTGTTAATCTGGTATAAAATATATCAAAATGTTTCCATTTTATTTCTATATGTTTTTAGCAGATTTATTTATTTTTGCCTGAGCTGGGCCTTCGTTGCTACAATAGGGGGCCGCTCTTGGCAGGGATGTGCAGGCTTCTCACTGCCACGGCTTCTCTTATTGCAGAGCATGGGGTCCAGATGCGTGGGATTCAGTAGCTGAGGCTCACAGGCTCTACAGCTCTGGCTAGCAGTTGTGGCACACCGGCTTAGTTGCTCCACAGCATTTGTGATCTTCCCCGACCAGGGATTGAACTCTTGTCCCCTGCATTGGCATGTGGATTCCTAACCACTAAATCACCAAGGATGGTGACTGCAGCCATGAAGTTAAAAGACGCTTACTCCTTGGAAGACAAGTTATGACCAACCTAGACACTATATTAAAAAGCAGAGACATTACTTTGCCAGCAAAGGTCCATCTAGTCAAGTCTATGGTTTTTCCAGTAGTCATGTATGGATGTGAGAATTGGACTATAAAGAAAGCTAAGCGCTGAAAAGTTGATGCTTTTGAATTGTGATGTTGGAGAAGACTCCTGAGAATCCCTTGGACTGCAGGGAGATCCAACCAGTCCATCCTAAGGGAAATCAGTCCTGAATATTCATTGGAAGGACAGATGCTGAAGCTGAAACTAATACTTTGGCCACCTCATGCAAAGAGTTGATTCACTGGAAAAGACCCTGATGCTGGGAGGGATTGGGGGCAGGAGGAGAAGTGGACAACAGAGGATGAGATGGCGGGATGGCATCACCGACTCGATGGACATGAGTTTGAGTAAACTCGGGGACTTGGTGATAGATAGGGAGGCCTAGCTTGCTACAGTCCATGGGGTCAGAAAGAGTCAGACACGACTGAGCAACTGAACAGAACTGAAACCACCAGGGAAGCCCCCTTATTTGTATAGTTTTTTAAAAAAATTGTTTATTCTGGTAAAAAAAAAAAACTTCAAGAATTTATAGATTCACATTTGTATACAATTGTGTAGCCTTCTCACTGTTTTCTAAATTTGTATCAGTTGCTTAATGCTGAATGCTCAGTAGAGTCCGACTCTGTGACCTCATGGACTGTAGCCCACCAGACTCCTCTGTCCATGGGATTATGTCCATGGGATTACTCTGGTAAAAATACTGGAGTGGATTGCCATATCCTCCTCTAGGGGATCTTCCTGACCCAGGAATCAAACCCACATCTCTTGTAGCTTCTGTATTGCAGACAGATTCTCTCCTACTGAGCCACCTGAGAAGCATCAATTACTTAACTTAATCCTAAATCTTATCTCAGTGTAATGTGGGACAATCTCTTATTTTAGAGGCAGATTTTGCAGCCCTGGCTACTCCTCCTTCAAAGGCTCGCCGTTCAGGTCAGTTCAGCTCAGGTGCTCAATCATGTCCGACTCTCTGCAACCCCATGAATCACAGCACGCCAGGCATCCCTGTCCATCACAATCTCCCGGAGTTTACTCAAACTCATGCCCATCGAGCCGGTGATGCCATCCAGCCATCTCATCCTCTGTCGTCCCCTTCTCCTCCTGCCCCCAATCCCTCCCAGCATCAGGGTCTTTTCCAATGAGTCAACTCTTCACATGAGGTGGCCAAAGTATTGGAGTTACAGCTTCAGCATCAGTCCTTCCAATGAACACCCAGGACTGATCTCCTTTAGGATGGACTGGTTGGATCGTTTAGAAGTCCAAGGGACTCTCAAGAGTCTTCTCCAACATCACAGTTCAAAAGCATCAATTCTTCGGTGCTCAGCTATCTTCACAGTCCAACTCTCACATCCATACATGACTACTGGAAAAACCATAGCCTTGACTAGATGGACCTTTGTTGACAAAGTAATGTCTCTGCTTTTTAATATGCTGTCTAGGTTGGTCATAACTTTCCTTCCAAGGAGTAAGCGTCTTTTAATTTCATGGCTGCAATCACCATCTGCAGTGATTCTGGAGCCCAAAAAAATAAAGTCTGCCACTGTTTCCCCATCTATTTCCCATGAAGTGATGGAACCAGATACCATGATCTTAGTTTTCTGAATGCTGAGCTTTAAGCCAACTTTTTCTCTCTCCTCTTTCACTTTCAGCAAGAGGCTTTTTAGTTCTTCCCTTTCTGCCATAAGGGTGGTGTCATCTGCATATCTGAGGTTATTGATATTTCTCCCAGCAATCTTGATTCCAGCTTGTGCTTCACCCAGCCCAGCGTTTCTCATGATGTACTCTGCATATAAGTTAAATAAGCAGGGTGACAATATATAGCCTTGACGTGTTCCTTTTCCTATTTGGAACCAGTCTGTTGTTCCATATCCAGTTCTAACTGTTGCTTCCTGACCAGCATATAGGTTTCTCAAGAGGCAGGTCAGGTGATCTGGTATTCCCATCTCTTTCAGAATTTTCCACAGTTTATTGTGATCCACACACTCAAAGGCTTTGGCATAGTCAATAAAACAGAAATAGATGTATTTTTCTAACTCTCTTGCTTTTTCAATGATCCAACGGATGTTGGCAATTTGATCTCTGCTTCCTCTGCCTTTTCTAAAACTAGCTTGAACATCTGGAAGTTCTCGGTTCACGTATTGCTGAAGCCTGGCTTGGAGAATTTTGAGCATTACTTTACTAACATGTGAAATGAGTGCAATTGTGTGGTAGTTTGAGCATTGCCTTTCATAGGGACTGGAATGAAAACTGAGCTTTTCCAGTTCTGTGGCCACTGCTGAGTTTTCCAAATTTGCTGGCATATTGAGTGCAACACTTTCACAGCATCATCTTTCAGGATTTGAAATAGCTCAACTGGAATTCCATCACCTCCACTAGCTTTGTTCATAGTCATGCTTCCCAAGGCCCACTTGACTTCACATTCCAGGATGTCTGGCTCTAGGTGAGTGATCACAACATCATGATTACCTGGGTCATGAAGATCTTTTTTGTACAGTTCTTCTGTGTATTCTTGCCACCTCTTCTTAATATCTTCTGTTTCTGTTAGGTCCATACCATTTCTGTCCTCTGTTGAGCCCATCTTTGCATGAAATGATCCCTTGGTATCTCTAATTTTCTTGAAGAAATCTCTAGTCTTTCGCATTCTGTTGTTTTTCTCTATTTCTTTGCATTGATTGCTAAGGAAGGCTTTCTTATCTCTCCTTACTGTTCTCTGGAACTCTGCATTCAAATGGGAATATCTTTCCTTTTCTCCTTTGCTTTTCACTTCTCTTTTTTCACA